GAGAGAGAGAGAGAGAGAGAGAGAGAGAGAGAGAGAGAGAGAGAGAGATTGGTGACTTTGGGACTTGACGACATTTGGATTCAGACTCAACATTGGGATTGAGACATTGGACGAGGGACTATTTGGGACCTGTACCGAAGACTTGGTGTTGACGACATGCCCATCTTCCCCCTCTTCTTCGTCTAATCCCCCTCCTCTTTGTCTATGTATGGTTGGGGACTGGCGCATTCTTCCTGTGTGAGTGCCAGGCCCCTTCACACTATGGGATGATGATGATGTATGATTGGTCTGCATTGCGACATTGATTGGTCTGATCAGTGGTATTTTAGCCTTCCGCTGCGCTATCCTGTACTATGTGAGAGAGGTCGGTTCTTGTTCTGGTCTGTACCATTACGGTGTACAACAGTTTGGTATCGGAGCGGACCTCTCAATCAGAGGATCCGCCCAATCAAGGAGCCAGCTGACTGATTGATTGATTGCTGATTGATTGTTGGTTAATCAGGTAGGACTTCGTCAAATCTCTGCAAAATCGTTACCTTCCGTGATGCCTCACTGATATCAAGTCGACAGATTTAAAAAAAAAAAAAAAAAAAGGGGGGGGGCGATCCTCTTCCTTTTATTTTTATTTTTTTATTTGACTCTGTTGATTAGGACCGGGAATGGGAAGTGCAGTTTTGTTACCTTCCTGTGTTTCCCTCCCACCCAGCCCTTTGTCTGCATTCCCGGTTTGGTAAGTGCCACGTCAGCAGTGCCATGACAGCAGCAGTGCCACGTCAGCAGTGCCATGGCAGCAGTTCCACGTCAGCAGTGCCATGTCAGCAACAGTGCCACATCAGCAGTGCCACTTCAGTAGCAGTGCCACATCAGCAACAGTGCCACATCAGCAGTGCCACGACAGCAGCAGTACGTCAGCATTGTCCCGCCACCATGACGGTTTCAGCTTTGGGCATGCCAGGCCAACTGGCCAACGAGTCCATTGCTGAGTACCGACAGCGGTTCCAAGCTCAGCTCGCACGGATCGAGGCGGAGGAACAACGCCAGGCGGCAGCCGAGGCTGCCCGCCTACAGGCTGAAGTGGCGGTAGCAGCTGAAAAGCAGCGGCTTCAGGCCGAAGCTGACGCAGATGCCCAGGCCCGCCGCATGGAGGCCCAGGATCTGCTGCAGCTGCACGAAGCTGCCAGCGTCGACAGGCTCAAGTTCTGGCATTTTGAACCTTCCGAGGGCAGCGACGACGTGACACCGGAAGAGCAGCACAAGGAGTTTCTCTCCAAACTCGTGGCCCGGTTGGTTCGCACTTGTAACCACCTGCAGTCCGAGTTGGTGAATCTTCGACGGGCAGTGCGGAACCACAAGGGTCTGCACGAGGATGCTACACGGGCACTTATTCCAGTGTACAGGACTTGGATCAAGCAGCACCAGGACCCGATGCTGGCGAATCCAGCAATGCAACCTCTACCTGCCAGTTGGAGCAACGAGTTGACCATGTAGTCGCAATGCTCGGCGACATCAGCACCTTCACTGCACCAGCCACCATCAGCGAGCAGCTGGACACCTTTAAAACTGAGGTTCGGCAACTGCACCAGCTGCCCGACAAGGATGGCAACACCAGTGCGCAACAGTACAAGATGTCAACATTCCGGATCGAAAAGTTTGATGATTATACACATCAAGACATGGTCCCCTGGTGGCAGGGCTTTACGACGGAACTTCGGATTCATCACGTCCCCAGCACTCGTACATCGGAGCGTTGTTCCTGAAGTCAAAGGGCGGATGTCAGATCTAGCTCAGCCACCTAACAACCATCCACGGCGTCCAGGTCGCCGATCTACACAAGAAGATCTCTTGGGAAGATCTGACGAGACGATGGAAGAAGCGGTTCATTGTTGACGACGGCCCGACGCTCGCCATCAACCCCCTTTTCAGCATGAGTCAAGACAACACACCAACACGCGACTGGCTCACGGAGCGGCAAAAGATCGTGGCAACACCCGATCTTGACTTACCATTTCCGCATCTGTGTCGGGAGTTCTACAGCCGGTCGTGTGCCGCCTTGAGCCTCACACTCGGTGATCGCAAGCAGTACATGACCTTCGCTTAAATCATCGACAAGGCGCGAGAGATCATCAAGACCAACCGGACTGCTGCACACGAGAAGTCAGCGTGGCAGCCAGCCCATGTGGAGAAAGGAAGATTTGGTCTGCGTCCGCAGCCCGTCGCTGCAGTCCAACCGGACAACGTTGTGGAAGACCCGACAGCCACACCAGCATCACGTGAGGGAGATGTTGTACATACACATTCAGATCGGAGAGGCGACCTGCAGCGCTTTGATCGATTGCGGAGCTACTCGCAACTATATGAGCCAAGACCTTATGGTGCGCGCTGGCCTTGGGCCACGTGTTCGGAGGAAGTCGCGGCCCACTCAAGTCACGTTGGCCGACGATCACACGCACAAGTCAATCGACCGATGCATTGATTCCGTCCCCGTGTACTTCGCCCTGCATGCACGCGAGGCCGCGTCCTTCGACATTTTGGACACCCAGTTCGACATGATTTTGGGCATGTCATGGGTGCAAAGCGAGGATCACCCGGTGAACTTCTACCGCCGCATTGTTCGCGTTCGTGATCGGAACGGAGTACTAGTCCCGTGCACGGTGGCTCCACCTCACCCTTCGATCAGCTGCCACGTGGTATCACTGGGGACGACATCGAGGAAATGGGGGGGTGTTTTCTCCACGCCCTCCCTCCCCATGACATCCCACGGACGCATCAACGGACCCACGCATCACCGAGCTTCTCCACGCCTACGGCGACGTGTTCGAAGCCCCGCACGGAGTAGTACCAGATCAGCCCATCCGCCACGAGATCATCCTCGAGGCCGGGGCGGTACCTCCACATGGTTGCATCTACCGCATGAGCGAGGAAGAGTTAAGTGTGCCATGGGCACAACTCGACGACCTTCTTGAGAAAGGCTGGATTCGGCCTAGCTCTTCTTCATATGACGCTCCCGTTCTCTTCGTCCAGAAGAAGAACAAGGACTTGCGGTTGTGCATCGATTATCGCAAGCTCAACGCACAAACCGTCAAGAACGTTGGCCCTCTCCCGCGCATCAACGACCTTCTCAAATGGTTGGGCGGCGCTAAATCTTTCTCCAAGTTTGACCTCAAATCGGGATATCACCAACTTGAGATCCGGCAGGAGGACCACTACAAGACCGCGTTCAAGACGCGATATGAGCGTTTCGAATGGCTAGTTATGTCGTTTGGCTTTACGAATGCCCCGACCACGTTCCAAGCGACTATGACGACGGAGTTCCGACAGATGCTGGACAAATTCGTACTCATCTATCTCGACGATATCTTGTTGTACAGCCGGAGTTTGGACGAGCATGTGGAGCACCTGCGCACCGTTTTGGAACGGTTACGACAAGCCAAGTACAAAGCCAACCGCGACAAATGCGAATTCGCGAGGCAAGAGCTCAAGTACTTGGCCATTTTGTGACGCTGCAAGGCATCCGTCCGCTCGCGGACAAGATCGGGGCCATCCGAGTATGGCCCGGGCCCACCAACACCACGGAAGTTCGCTCATTCATGGGGTTGGCGGGCTCCTACCAAGGCTTCATCACCTGGTCCTCAAGGATTGTCACACCGTTGATGAGACTACAATCGTCAAAGGTGTCATTCGTATTCAGCGACGGAGCGCGCCCGTCATTCCAAGCACTCAAGATGACCATGCTCATGGCACCTGTCCTTAGCATCTACGACCCCACCTTGCCAACGAGAGTGACAACTGACGCTTCCGACTATGGCATTGGGGCAGTCTTGGAACAACACGACGGCGACGACTAGCACCCCGTGGAGTATTTCAGCCACAAGTTGCCTCCCATCAATTCACTTGATGATGCAAGGAAGGAGTTGCTCGTGTTCGTGATGGCTCTCAAGCGATGGCGACACTTCCTCCTTGGGCGTTGTAGGTTCACATGGGTCACTGATAACAACCCGTTGACCTACTACAAGATGCAGGATACGGTGAGCAGCACTATCGAACGATGGATGTACTTCATCGACCAATTTGACTTCACACCGAAACGTCTCGTCGACCTCTCCAATCGCGCAACAGATGCTCTTTCGCGAAAACCCGATCTTTGCGCTATGACACATCATGCCTTCGCATTCGACGAGGAACTCCAACAGCATTTCATTCGGGGCTACCAGTCTGATCCGGATTTCGCCACGCTCTATGCGCAGCTATCTTTGGATCACCCTTTGGCCAGCCATTATCGCATCGTCAACATGTACTTGCTTCTCCACTCGCAAGGCAAGGACTTATTGTGTGTCCCATAAGACTATTGTCTTCGGACTCGCCTTCTCGGCGAGTACCACGACTCACGACTCGTCGGCCATTTCGGAGTCAATCGGACTATTGCACGACTTCGGCAACGATTCCGGTGTCCCGACGTCATCACCGATGTCACTCGGTATTGCGACTCTTGCAAAGTTTGTCGTCGCAGCAAGCCCCACAACCGCAATCCCTATGGCGAGTTGCGTCCGTTGTCTATCCCACGGGAACCCGGCCTCTCCATTGCTATGGACGTCACCGGCCCGTTTCCCCGTGACCGCCTCGGGCACGACGGCATCCTCACGGTCGTTGACCGTTTGAGTAAGTACGCGCGATTTCTCCCTTGCAAGTACTACACCACGGCTCCCGAACTTACGCGCCTCTTGCACACCGGCTGGATTTGCAGCCACGGCATACCGAAAGACATCATTAGCGACCACGACACTTGTTTCATGTCGGCATTCTGGACTTCTCTCATGCAGGATCCGGCACCAAAATGAAACCAAGTTCGGCTTGGCATCCACAAACGGACGGGCAAACGGAGCGGGCACATCAAACCGCTCAAATGATGCTTCGTACGCTCATCCATCCGGATTAAAAGCATTGGGTTGACCGCCTCCCCGACATCGAGTTCGCCTACAACACTTCGTTGCACCCGGCAGCGTGACTCCATTCGAGTTGCACCACGGTGGCCGGAAAGGCCATATCTTCGCTGATCTTCTCCTTCTACAAACAGCCGGCATAGACGCCGCTTGATCTCCCGCCTCCGTCCGGAAGTACAAGGAATTGCTGACTCAAGCCCGTGCGAACATGCAAAAGGTTCAAGTCTGCATGCAGCAGCAAGCCAACAGGCGTTGCGTGCCATATCCCATCCGCGCCGGTGATCTGGTTTGGGTCTCCGCGGAAGAGTTTGCACTCGAACAGGATGTTTCACGCAAACTACTTCCCAAGTGGTTTGGACCATGGACCGTAACATCAACCGCGGGCGATGAACCCGATGGCCTCTCATTTGTAATCAACATCCCCCCGCATCTGACAGTCCATCCAGTCTTTCACGCCTCGAAGCTGGCGACATACACACCAGCTAAGAGCGACGACTTCCCGGGCCGACGATCGCAAGACCCTCCATCTATGGATGGTCATCAGGAAGTCGACCGCGTCATCATGGATCGCAAATACGGCAACAAGCCTCGACAGTACAAAGTTACCTTCAAAGCATGCGATCCTGACGACACTCGATGGATTTCGCGAGCAGATTTGCAAGCATCCGCGCCTCTGCTCTACGCTCACTATGAACGACAGAGACTAGCTAAGGAAGCTTCACGACCTGCCCCTCCCACCCGGACTTCGGTCCCTCCCTCCGACAGACAGCTCCGCCCTCACAGGTAGGCTCCGTCTTTCAAGGAGGGGGGTGTGTGGCATACTGAGCATCCACACGGGCCTGTGGGGCCCGACCAGACGGAAAATAAGGGATGGAGGGAGAGGAAGGATGAAGATGGAGAAGAGGGAGAAGTCCAAGATCGCAATAGCGAGGTCCAAAAAAATAGTCCCTTGCCGATGTCCAATCAATGTCTGCCTCAGAAGTGTCGAATCAGATCCTGGGCAACATGCCCTCGGTAACCTCTGCCGATATCCTCTACTGATAACCTCTCTCACTCTCGTATCTGAAGAAGAAGAAGAAGAAGAAGAAGAAGAAGAAGAAGGAGGAGGAAGGAGGGAGAGAGAGAGAGAGATGAGATGGAGGACAAGGAAGAAGAAGAAGATGGCGTCCTCCTCGCTATCTCACCTGCAGGTGGCTACCGCCGTGCTGACTGGGTCGTCGCCGAGTGCAGGTACCACGCGGAGCTCCGGCTATGGTGCCAGGTAAGTCCGCCGCTGCAGGTAGGCCTCCGCCTCTCGCACTCTACCCCGTGCACTCTCCTCCTAGCTCGACGGTGCTGTGCTCAAAATAGCGCAGCATGGCGCAGCCTCCTTTCAGCAGCGTGTCGCTCAAGAAGTGAGCAACCGAACTGTCCTCAGCCCGGCCTCAGCCCAGCTATAAGTAGCGCTGGGCCGGCTGGGCGGTCTCAGGTACGGCCTCAAAACGGCCTACTGAGTCTGGGTCCCTACCGGGCGCCCAGACTGCGCTGCTGATGCAGCGAGGCGCCAAAACACGCCTGGCCTTGAAAAAGGCCTGGCCCCTGCGTACCTGGTCCAAGGCGTTGCCTTGGGACCTGCAGTCCGAAACGGCGTCTGGACCTGCAGTCCGAAACAGCGTCTGGACCTGCAGTCCGAAACGACGTCCGAACGGACCCTGCTGGTACCTGTGGCCAAAAAGGCCGCTGTGGGCCTCCAGGGTGCGCGCTGGATGGCGCGTGGCCCGGGGGCCCCTTGGCAACCGTCGGGCCCTTCAAAACAGGGCCCATGTGCAGGCGCAGCATGTAACACCACCTGACTTCTCAGTATCTGCAGACTAAGAGAGAGAGAGAGAGAGAGAGAGAGAGAGAGAGAGAGAGAGAGAGAGAGAGAGAGAGAGAGATTGGTGACTTTGGGACTTGACGACATTTGGATTCAGACTCGACATTGGGATTGAGACATTGGACGAGGGATTATTTCGGACCTGTACCGAAGACTTGGTGTTGACGACATTCCCATCTTCCCCCTCTTCTTCGTCTAATCCCCCTCCTCTTCGTCTATGTATGGTTGGGGACTGGCGCATTCTTCCTTGTGTGAGCGCCAGGCCCCTTCACACTATGGGATGATGATGATGTATGATTGGTCTGCATTGCGACATTGATTGGTCTGATCATTGGTATTTTGGCCTTCCGCTGCGCTATCCTGTACTATGTGAGAGAGGTCGGTTCTTGTTCTGGTCTGTACCATTACGGTATGCAATATAGGGTTGCACGGTTGGTGCGAGGAAAGTCGACCACTTTTCTCTCTGAGGGGTATCGCTAGCTCTGGGCAGCGTGGTGAGAGTCCTTATCCATCAGTCAAATCCATCCTGGGCAGACGGTCTGTCCAGGTTCAAGCTCCCGATGAGTCGGTGAATGTCGGACGAAACAGTGTGGCGCACTCATGCCTTTTTTGTTGTGGAGTTGTGTATGGCGAGGATGACAACACACACAGAGACCTCCCCCGCGCTGTTGACATTTTGGTTGACGTCTTGGTTTCAGGTTCTGATGGATGCGGCGGAGGCGGAAACGAATACGGTAGAATGCCGGGTGCACTGCGTAAACATTCTGAATGAGATTTGCGCCGATCCTGGATGTCGAGATTTATTTCTCAAGAAGCTTCGCGGTGTGGATATGCTCCTCCGTCTTGCCTACCCTTATGAGAGGAGGGAGGACCAGTACGAGGGGATAGTTCGAATGGCACCTCTGCAGTGCCGCCAAGCGACTGTTCTCTTGTGTCTCAATTGCGACGATAAGGCGAGGATAATCACAGAGCACAACCTGGATACGATGGAACGGTATGCCTTCATACTAGTCTGCTGCTCGCCGGGGTTTCTGTTGAATCTGCCAACGGCGGGAATGTTCTTGCGACTCGTGGAGCTGCTACACGATGTCACGATGAGGTGTAGGCGTCTGCCTCGCACCTTCCTCGTGAAGCTGGGGAGATCGAGTCCGATGTTCGAGATGATGCAGATGCTTCAAATTGTGACCGTGCATATGAACTTTGCGAGGACCCTCCACGGATTGTTATCGAGGCAAGGAGGCCAGCAGCACGTGCACCGCCATGCCTGGAATCTGCTCGACGGTTGGCAGAGGAGGCAGTTGCGATTCACCCGAGAGCGGGCTCGAGCCTTGGACCTGTACGAACGAATGTGGAGGCGACTCTCCGTCGCTCGAGCCAAGATTATCCGTTTGATTATCTGGTTCCAGTCAAATTTCTCCCAATTTTTGTCCCGAGATACCGACGAGGAGTTTGTGAAACTGTTCAGCGGAGCGTTGGATATGCTGCCGGTACAATCCATCCGCGCCCGGGTCCCTCATCCAGCAGCGAGGGTGGGGACCACCAGAGGAAGAGGAGGAGGAGGAGGAGGAGAAGAAGAGGACAACGTGCGGGGGGGGGTATCTCTGATGCAGAACCTTCTTCACGATCCATTCAACACGTGGCGAGCGGACATCTCTCCTCCTCAAGATCAGACCTCCCTGCATGACCTATCTTTCAGTCTGTGGGGGGCTTGGCGTAAACTGTATGGCCTCCAATCTCCAGTCCCCATGACCTTTGATCAGTACATCAGTGAACCTATGGCCTATAGCCCTGCGTTGTACTTTGCGTCGCCTGATCCGCTCGATCACACGCGACCGGCTCCTTCGCTCGACTGCGTGTACCTGTTGATCGAATCGCTGGTCTGGGCGATCGTCGACCTGAATTGCATGGATTCGCTGTGCACAATTCCTGCGTCGTCCTCCGCAGTTGCGCGCCGTCGCGCGTTGCCCACTGTAGTCGGTGACGGCAGACAAGCGCAGCCTTCGTCTTCCCCTTCGTCTTCAACATGGCGTCCGTATCCAGCACGCGCTGCAAGTCTCTCGCAAGACGACTGGGAAGGATCATTCATCGTCGACGTAGGGGACGACGGCAAGCTGGCAAACATATTATTGCTGAACGAAGAGAGGATGGTGGAGTACTGGAAGGAGGTGTATGCACGGAAAGACGTGCAGAAGAAAGTAGCAAGCATGCTGGTGAAGCTGTGCAACCTCCACGAGAGCTTGAGGAGATGGATCGCCTCCAGCTTCGCCAGCAAATCCTACGTGGACCACTTACGATCCCTCGGATTCCCAGAGACAGATGAACTCTTCATTCTCATCACACAGACTCAGTCATAAAGAGATCATGTGCAAATCCTCTGGTGCAATTTAAACAACCGCCAGGTTGCACTCGCAAATCCTGATCCATATATATACATATATATATATATATATATATATATATATATATATATATCGTCATATATATATATATATATTGTTGTCCTCTTCTCCCTCTCTGCCTACGGTTTACCGGGCAGTTCTGTTTGACGATATATATTACACTGCTAACCCTGCTCACTCTCTCAAGGTAAGGCAGGAGGATATATGTGGAACACCTACAGCGCTTCATCTGGCACACTAAATGGGTGAGGCAGTTGAAAGGATTCCTTGTTTTCAATCAATCAATCAATCAGCCAATCAATCAATCAATCAATCAATCAATCAATCAATCAATCAATCAATCAATCAATCAATCAATCAATGAGTCGATCAATCAAACAATCAAACAATTGGTCGATCGTCAATAGATAGATAGACAGACAGACACACACACACACACACACACACACACACACACACACACACACACACACACAC